CTTAAATCAGACATGTCAAACACAAGGCTCGGGGGCTGGATGCAGCCCGCGAAGTGGTTTCATGTGGTCTGCAAAGCCATCCTGGAAACAGTGAGGGAACGGCCCCCGCTGTTTTGGCCGTGGCCCAGGCTGGGAGCCAATGTACAATTTTGTGGTGGCCATCTTGGCACTTGCCCCGGTGGACCATGCCTTGGCGCTTGCCCCGGTCCCACCCCCTTCTGCCAGAGACCCTCATATCTGTCCCACTCCTGCCCAGGCCCCCACAGGCACCCTTGATGCGAATGATGTAGAACTGGCCATGCCCACCCAGTAGATCACACCGACTCCAACCATGCCCACCCAATAGGCTGCACTCACTCTGGCCACACTCCCCCAGGGCAACCACAATGCTGATGCGGCCCTCAGTGAAATTGAGTTTGATACCTCTGTCTTAAATGGTATAATCATAGTGTATTATAACTTTTCATATTTTCATGTGAACCTTTGGCGGATATTGATTAGAGACCAAGTGCCCAAACTGCAACCCAAAACCCACGTATGTATTGTCGGGTGCCAGGTGGGCATGGCCCATTGGGTGGGCGTGGCTGTGGTGGTATTGGCAGACTGGGTGGGACTAAAAAGTTCAAATCAATTCCAATTTTGCGAGATCTTTTTTTTTTTTCCTGCGAGAAGTTGAAATAGATTGATTGAACCTTTTTTTTTTTTTGCACAGGGCGGTGGAGGCCTAAAGCAAAAAGGTTTTATAAAATCCAGCTGAAGGCTTAGGACTGGGGTGACGGCGCGCATGCCTACAGAGAGGGTCTGCATGCCACAGGTTCGCCACCCTGGCCCTAGTGTACAGTTCCTCTGCATTTTCACCTGTCATTAGCACAACCAAATTACTGGTTTTTCTTCCTCCAGTTTTAAAACTTCACAAAAATTCAAATCCAGCTTCCTTTATGGGTATATTGTGTATATAGGTTGAATGAGTAAGGGAAAGTACAGTTAGTCCTCGAACCATGACCACAGTTGAGCCCAATGTTTCCATTACTAAGCAAGACAGTTGTTAAGTGAGTTTTGCCCCATTTTACGACCTTTCTTGCCATAGTTGTTAAATGAATCATTGCAGTTATTAATTTAGTAACATGGTTGTTAAGTGAATTTGGATTCCCTATTGCTTTTACTTGTCAAAAGGTCGAAAAGGTGATCACGTAACCCCAGGAGAGTGCAACTGTCACCAGTTGTCAAGTTCTAAATTTTGATAATCTAACCACGGGGATGCTGTAACGGTCGTAAGTATGAAAAATGGTCATAAGTTGTTTCTTTACGTGCTGTTGAAACTTCAGATAGTAATTAATCGAATGGATGTAAGAAGTCAAGGACTACCTCTATAAAGTTTTGTGACTCTCCTTTGCAAAACTGGAGTGTTTTTCTTCATGGTGTGTTTAGATTGTGGCTTCCTGGTTTATCTTTTTGATTTGAGGACATGATATTCTCTGGGGTTCTCATTCTTCTAAGCACCTTCTAGTACAGTGGTTCTCAACCTGTGGGTCAGGACCCCATTTGGGGTCGAACGACCATTTCACGGGGGTCGCCAAACAAGTCTTTTCTTTGGCCATGCCCCTGGCACCCAGTGATGTATAAGTGGTTGGGGTTCACCACAACATGGGGAACTGTATTATGGGGTCGCGGCATTAGAAAGGTTGAGAATCACTGTTCTAGTAGCTTGACATGATTGACACAATTGGAAGTCTTTCTGTTGTTATTGTTTGGCTTTCTGATTTATTTCCAGCATAGTAACTAGGTTGTGATGCTATGTTGGCTTACTTAAATGTCTTACAGACTGTCATATTTGGGAGCCAAAAACAAAACACAGTACAACAACATCAGTCTTATTTGAGATAAGCGGTGATCTTTCTCTCTTATAAAGTGTGCAGAAAATTAATTTCAGCATGTCAGCAGGCCTTCATAATGCTTCGCCTTAAGAGTTGGATGTCTTGACTTTTATTTTCCGTGAAAGTAAATTTGCATGTAAAGGGATTACCCTAGATCAAGAGAAATTGATTGATTTTTTTCAAAACAATAAAAAACTGCTGGCTTAAATAATTTATGATTTTTATCCACCCAGATGGGTCATGTAAAACTTTAGACCAGTGGTTCTCAACCTGTGGGTCGGGACCCCATTTGGGGTTGAATGACCATTTCACGGGGGTCGCCAAACAAGGCTGTCCGCCATTTTTTTCCCCCTTTTCTTTGGCCATGCCCCTGGCACTGAGTGATATATAAGTGGTTGGGGGTCACCACAACATGGGGAACTGTATTATGGGGTCGCAGCATTAGAAAGGTTGAGAACCACTGCTTTAGACAATGGTTGCAGGGCAAATTGATTTTAAATCAAGGCACATTTTCTCTTAATTTGTATATTTTCTGAACAAGAGTGCATGCTAATTGATGCTCTAGCTATTATGAAGTGTGCATTAGCAATTAAATAGTGATTATTCTCCCTTAGGAGCATATTCTAAAATGTCTGACTGACAGGTATAAAATGTCCAAAAGTTGTGAAGCCATTGAAAAATGACATTTTCCTCCAAACGGTAGGGATACGTTTCAGATAAAGTTGAAATATATGCAGTATTAGCTGTGCTACTGTAATGTAACTGATATATTCATGTTGCTTCACTGCTTCTCATTAAGTTTCTGAACCCAGTTTAAAGTGCTGGTTTTGACTAATAAAACCCCATGTAACTTGGCTTTATGGAACATCAGGGATTATCTTCTCTAAGTGGAATTTGCTTGAGCTGTGGTACATGTTTGGGCTGAAAGCTTAGGATTCTGTCCCTGTGTTGTTGGATCATCTTTTTTGTGGTCCCCAACCTTTATGGCTTGGCAGATTGGCTGTGGGGATGGTTATGTGTGAGTGGCAGGCGCATGAGTGAGCATGTGCAAACGGAGCTTTGCGCCAGCGTGAGTGCCCATCGCTCACTCAAATGAAGCTGCATGTGTACATACTTGCCCGCTGCTTGTCGTGGGCTGTGGCCCAAGGGTTGCTGTATCTTGTGCTTTTTCTGCAGGTATATTGCAAGATTGCAAAGACTGTATTATTTAATTGGGCATTTGCAGAAGATTTCTGTATGTTTAATGAGGAGTTATAAATGGGTCGCCATATTATTGTTGTTTACTACAAAGATTTAAAGTGAATTAACTTCTGTTTTTTTTAATTTCATTATAAAGTGCCTGGAGCTGGGAGTGTATATAAGGATTAATAAATAAAATATGTACATTGCCCTGTTGACAATTTTGTGAAATGTATAGAGCAATTCTGCTTATATTTATGGACAATCAGATCTGTTATAGAGTAGCTTACACCCAGATAAGCATGTGACACATACATAACACACACAAATAAACATTTTACAAATAACTCCTGTTGAGTATCTTTATATAAGATTCTAGCATTGGAGCAGAGTTTTATTCCATGAGATGCAGGATATGGTGGACATGTTGGTGAATGTCAAGTTCTTCATCAGAGGTTCCCAGGCAATTGAAACTGATGCCAGCAATTTATGATGGGAATTGGGTTTTGTGACCAGAAGTAGTGAGCAAAAGTAGTACAGGTAGTCCTCATCCTATGATTGTAATAGAACCTGCCCATTGCAGTTATAACTGTTGTAAAGCGGGATACCTGCATAACTGATCCAATTTTATGACCATTTTTGTAGCAGTTGTAAAATGAACCCATTGTTTGCTATGGGCTGTTTCTGCTAAAAACTGGAAGTTATTGCCGGTTTTCAGCAAAAATGTGACAAAATGCTAAGTGGCTGGACGTAAGTTAAGAACTATTGGCATGAAAATTATTTTCCCCCATTTCTTTCTCCATGCTGTGTTGGTGGAGAGAATTCATGTTTCTTACATACTGAAAAGTCCAATGAAACAGCTCTCATAGAAAGGACTGAGATGGAAGTTAGATCCTCTGTTGCCCACATCTTAGTCCCCTACAAGATTATTCCTTTATTAGAGCAAACAAAAACGCGATTAGCAACTATGTAAGTGGGATTAAAAGTTATCTGAAGTTAGTAGGTATCATGAATATCTAGGGCAGTGGTTCTTAACCTGGGCGATATTGCCCCCCAGGGGGCGATTTCATTTTTCAGGGGGGCAATGGAACGAAAAGGGGCGACGCGGGGGCGAAGGAACGAAAAGGGGGTGATATGGGGGCGATGGAGCGAGAAGTTTTGGAGACATTTTTGAGACTTTTTCATACAGTGAATCGCTGTGTATCTGTCGTACAAAAACATCAGATCGCTCGCTATTAGTGGATTGAATTGTGTTTTTAAAGGTTCCTCCAGCTAGCTTCAGTACAGAACGCCGTACATGTGTGAATACGCATCGCTTATCTTCATGCGCGTTGCGCAGCAGCCTCTACCCATACAGTGGCATGCCATTGGCCAGAATATGGGAAAAAGACTGGAAATAAATTATTTGCATCGATATGTCCTGATGACAATTTTAAAGAAAACAAAGAAAGTGTTTGCATAAATGGAAGAATTATTTCCTATGTTGTGATTGAGAGGTTATGTTGGGGGAGGGGGGGCGATGACAACTTCTTCATTGGCTCAAGGGGGCGATTCATTCAAAAAGGTTAAGAACCACTGATCTAGGGTACCTGGGTTTTGAAGACAAGTGCAAATTCTTGGTCAGTTTCTCCCACAGTTGATAACTCCAGGTGTGAAAGAACTTCATTATTGGAAATTGTAATCTGTATATGTCTGGCCTGAAGTAGCATTATTTGAAATAAGAGTTATTTAATTCGGTAGATAATGTTTTATTGAATTGTTCATACTACACGCTTGGAATAAAATCCATTCTTAAAAACACCTCATTTTTCCAAACAAAAAATACTGTAAAGTAAAGAGCTCTTTCTTAAACGATTTGCAAAATTTCCATGTTTGATATTTGGAAACGTTAAATACTCATGAGGGAAACGGTATATAATTCCTTCCATCCTTGTTATCTTTAATCAGGTTATGCAGTCTATCCAAACAATTGTTGTTACTGGGCAGGTAAGTGTTTCTTCATTATATGAAAAATATACTTTTATATGCCATAAACCCAAATATTCATAACTTCCTAATAGAGAATTGTACTTTATTTTTGAAACTCCTTTCTGATCTCCTATCGTCTTGTACAGGAAAGCAATTATTAATTCTGTAGCTTACTTTGAAAGTTTTTCCTTATGTTTTAAGAGAAACTGTAGATATCATTCCTACATGTAGCTCATTGTTTCTGTTTCCTCTAATTATTTCATTCTTTTCCTTTTTTCTGGGATTTAAACTGTGTTGCTTGATTGAAAGTTTCCCAGTTTATATATAACAGTTGTAAATGTGCAGTTGACTATATATATATTGGAATCATCGCTGAATTAATCTATGTAATTTGTAAATAAATAGATTTATTTATAGCAGATAGAAATTATTTTTTCTTATAGGTGACATGATTTAGGGGGGTTTGTCCCACTGTTGAGCACTATTTAACAGGCCTTTTGGAGATGGGTTAGATTTAATCCTGTTTTAAGTAATTAAATCCAAATGAAAGTTGCTTCATTCTTAAAGTGATTTCTTATTCTAAATTAAATAGAAAACATGGCAAGTGGACATGATGGATTAAGAAATTCCAATACGAAAAAGAGTCTATTTTCTGAGAAATACCAGACTTAAACAAAACATTTAATTAATTAAAGAGCCTCTTTAAGAGCAAGCAAGTATGCATTCCATGTTGTAGATTGAACTGTTGTTGAAAATAGTTTCAGTTTTATTTTGGTATTTTGCAGGAGATTATGTTTCTATGCCTAAGTGATCTACAGATATATGATGTACAAGGCTACATAAAATTCAGGTGAATTCCAATATTGGGATTTTTGTTGCAAAGGAATATAATATTTCTAATGACCATTAAATTGGAGAAAATGACATCTATGGTGATTATTATGCAAATAATACAAATTTTATAAAAACAATAGGAATTTGTTGACTCCATTAAAATCCAGTACGTTAATATTTCACTGTCCAGCAAATAAACATGATTTTATTCTTTTCATTTTGACCCTTGGAATCAGAATCTAATTTAATTTAAAGATCAGCGTGTGTAGCAATTTGTATTTGCATATGTTTCTTTGATTTTGAGCTACCTACTCAGTTGAGTTAGTTTTTCACATTATTTGAATAAGTTTAATAATGCTGGAAGAGCAGGTTGGAATGTTTAAAGAGGACTAATGCACACCAGTATGTGTATCTTTCCTTTTCAAAGAAAAATGTGAAATTAATGGCTCTATTGCATGACAGTCTTAACTGTGTGTGGAGTGAAAAATCTAAACTCAATAAGCCATGAAGTTTAACCTCAAAAATCCTGGATTTAAGATACCATAACCCAGTGAAAACATGGGGTGGTTATCCTGTTGTACCTATTCAGTTTCCTGTGAAAAAAAGATGAGGCCACAAGGCAGTTATAAAAATCAAGAATTTCAGAATTCACTTGCACACTTCTAGTAGGCCCAAGTTTCCTTCTCAAAATACTTGCCTGTAGGGTCTGGTCTGGTCAACCAGCCTTCACAAATATTTCTCTGTCATTGGTCATTCAAATGAGAACAAATGTTAGCAGCACCAAAGTTATACCATAGTTCTGAAAACATTTGCATATGGGTTCAAACCTCACAGGAGTTCAAATAGTGCTATGTAGTGCAGTGTTTAGGGCAGGGGTAGGCAACCTTGGCTCTTTTATGACTCGTGGACTTCAACTCCCAGGATTCCTGAGCCAGCCATGCTGGCTCAGGAATTCAGGGAGTTGAGGTCCACGAGTCATAAAAGAGCCAAGGTTGTCTATCCCTGGTTTAGGGTTTCCAATGTTGGCAACTTTAAGATAAAAGAACTTGCAATAGAGGCAAATATCTGTAGCTCGGGTGTAGGATGAGGGTGATGGCTTGTTCTCCAAGCTTGTGGGTTGGTTTCTCAATGTTTTGTTACCAGGCTAGGTAACATCTTGAGCGGAATTTGGGGGATGTCAGTGTCAGTGTTCTGTTTATAAAGGCTTCAGATGTGGGTGTGTCAAGGGAGGGTCTGTGATGGATCTTGTGATGGGCCGAGGTGTGAGTCATCAGTGAGTCTTGTGATGGGTCTTGTGATGGGGAAGTTACCTCAGGTTACGGCCAATGGGAGGTGAACTGCTGGTGGGGGGGGAACTCCCAGAATTCCCCAGCCAACATAGTTGGAGAAATCCTGGCTTGGATATTTTGAAAGAGAAGGGAGGGAGGGAGGGAGGGAGGGAGGAGGAGGGAGGGAGGGAGGGAGGGAGGGAGAGAGAGAGAGAGAGAGAGAGAGAGAGAGAGAGAGAGAGAGAGAGATTGATTGATTGATTGATTAAAAGCTGTTGGAGAGGTTTTTTTTAATGAATTGGAGACTTGAAACACCCTCCCCTTTTTTAAAATGTCCATTACCTTTCCATGCTGCTGCTTTCTTACTGACTAATGGGGAAAGGGAACCTGATGTCTACCATTGTGCTGTAGAACCCACAGTGACATTGTCTGTACCATGATATCATTGCAGATTATGGGAATTGCGTTCTTATGTCCTCATCTTACATGTGTGTCATTGTTGTTTTAGTGTCACTCCTTCCCTGTTCATGGTAAAGTCCTTAGCCCTCTCGGGGATAATGAACATCTTTGGAAGGAGGCTGGCAGGGATTCTGTGTTCTCCAGCATGAGGATGGAGAATCCACGAATTGGGCAGGAAGACTGTCTTCCTGCCCAATTAGACTAAGTCTGAAAAAGTAGCCACGCCTCCTGCTGGGTCATGTGCTTCCCAGACACAACTTAGTCTTCAGCCCAGCAGGACATGATTGTGCTTGGCTCCCTTTTCAGACTTCAGAGCAGGTTGTATCTCTCTTTTTTCTCCCTTCGTGGATTCTCCTCCTTCAGTATCTACTGGAGGGGCTCAACAAGGGTTTGGCACCCAATACCATCTGCAGGCAGGTGGCAGCCTTATCCATGGTAGTTGTGACAATTCAATTACCATTGGCTCAGCACCTGATGGTGCGGTCCTTTATCAAGGGCGCAAATAACACCATGCTACCCATGGTTCATTGTTATTCCTTTTGGGAACTCCCGCAGGTCTTACAAGCCCTAATCTCACCACCGTTTGAGCCCATCAAGACATCTTCACTGAGGTTCTTAACCATGAAGATAGGATTTCTTATAGCCACCACGTTGGCTAGACGCATATCGGAACTAGCCGCTCTATTAGAGAGGACCTATGTGTTTTCCACAATGACAGGGTAGATCCATCCTTCATACCAAAGGTAAATTCTCTGTTCCAGAGATCACAAGAGGTGATTCTCCCAAATTTTTGTCCTTGCCCTTCACACACTTTGGAGCGCCAATGGCACACCTTAGACGTGCGAAGGACGTTACACCATTACCTCAAGTGGACTTCTGCCTTTTGCAAGTCGGAAGCGCTCTTTATTTCCTTCTAAACTTCTTCCATAGGACAGAAGGTCTCTTCAACTATAGACAGGTGGATCAAAGCATGCATTGCTAGAGCGTACCAATCACATTCCCTGTCAGTTCCAAGTCATATCACCACTCATTTTACCCGCAGCGCTGCAACATCAGCAGCGTGGGCATCTCAGGCATCCATTGGGGATATTTGCAAGGTGGCAATCTGGTCCTCGCCTTCCCCATTCGTGAGGCATTACAAGCTGGACAAATTTGCCTCAGCGGAAGCCTCATTCAGCCGGAGGGTGCTCCAGCAGTTGGTACCACCAAGTGGGACACAGGCACAGGCCAGTTCCCTCCCATAGGGACAGGATAGCTTTGGTATGTCCCATTCGTGGATTTTCCATCCTCATGCTGGAGAAGGGGCGTTGTCTTACCTGAACGCCTTTTCTCAGCATGATGATGGAGAATCCACACCCACTCCTTTAGGTCCGCCAGGGCCTGTGTTAGGAGCAGGGGAGCCAACACATCGGACTATCATCAATAGCTTCACCTTCGTCGTGTCTGGGAAGCACATGACCCAGCAGGAGGCGTGGCTACTTTTTCAGATTTAGTCTAATTGGGCAGGAAGATGGTCTTAACCCATTCGTTGATTCTCCATCATCATGCTGAGAAAAGGAGTTCAGGTAAAATAACTCCCCTTCCATAAATGGCAACCTTTGATGCATTGATGTGATTGAACATTGGCAGGTCTACTTGTAAAAAAAATTGATTAGGTTACTAGTTGACAGGGTTTAGTAGAGCGATTTGAATGGAGCCAGCCCATGTTTGCCTATTAGGCCTGTACAAATCATCAAAAGAAGGAATGACGTGACTTTCAGGCACATGCATTTGGAAGCACTTGCATAAACCTGGAAAAGGATGTGATTGCTTGAACAGTTTGAAAAGACCTACTTTATGTGTATTCCTGTACATTTCTAAACACCTCTTTGGAATGATTTGTACAACCCACTTATTTATATAAATTAAATAATAATCTATAACTGTCATAGTGTCAAATTCTGGAAAAACCCTCTGTAATTCCATTACTGTTAAATATGTAATGATGCATAAATTCCTTTTTTCACAGTTTTAAATGGACATCCAATTTCATCAGTTGCAGCATTCTGGTTTTTTTAAGTCTATGTGATTATACAAAAGTTTTATACTTAGGTTTCAGTTGAAAATTGGGGCATTTCAAACATAGCTATGTTTGCTCTGTTGCAAGATGTTTTATTTTTGTTATCTAAAGTTTCTATTTAATTTTCTGTTTAGTATTTTCTTCATTGAAAAGATGTGGGTAATGGTTACAGAAAATATATTGGACATATCCTAAATGGTTTGGTGAATGAATTAGAACAATTTTGCAACCAGTGCTACATATCTGTTGTTGATGGAACAATATTGGAATACTGTTCCATCAACAACAGATATATAGCACAACATTGGATGGAACAGCACAGGAATGTTGTGCAGCAGGGAAATAGGTATATACTACACCATCAGCATGTATATATTTTGCTAGATGTATTTTGGAGC